TATATATATATATATATATATATAAAAACTGTTCGATAAAACTGCTGACGATAAAAAACAAAAAAAAATGGAGTGTGTTGTTTTGTTTTTGTGTGGTTTTTTTTACGTTAGTAGTTTCTTTTTTTTTTGTGTTTCTTCTTTCTGTTCGTTCGTTCGTTCGTTTTGGTTTTGGAAGAAAAGTTTTGATGAATTCGATTGAACTTCGACTGAGAGAAAGAAAGAGAGAGAGAGAGAGTGAGAAAGGAGATCTACCTTAACGAGTGGGATATTCTTAAACAATTAGGTGAGTAAAAACAAAACAAACAAACAAACAAGTGTCTCTCCCCATTTCAGCTAATTATAACATGTCCTACCACCGCCAACATACACGTCATGGGTGAACAAAAATTATCAAATATATATTAAGGAGAGATTCTCTTCTTAGGTATTTTATCTGTTATTATCATATTCGATGCGCTTTAGAAAAATATTTATAATAGAAGCTTTGTAGTTTTGTGTCGTTGTTTTGATTTAACATAATCTCTCTTCTCATTTTTAGCCTCAACAGTTTTACGAGCAGTTTTTTTTTTTTTTTTTTTTTTTTTTTTTTCTTTTTGATTCAATTCTGTCTTAACACTAGATATACCACCATTTTTTACTACACTAGTCAAAATGACTGGTGTATACAAAAAAAAAAACAAAAATGCTTTTTGAGGCTTCCAGTCTTTATTTATTCTTAACAAAAAAAAAAAAAAATAACAAAAAAATCTTCAACAATAATAATTTTAATAGATAAATATGGATTTATAGATATTTTTCAATAACAAAACGCTTAATTATGTGCACAACTTAAATGTTACATGTATGAAGTAAAAATTTTGAATTAAAATGGCGTCAAAACCAGTCAAAATGACTGGTATGGTATATCTAGTGTTAATAAAATCAAATCAAATCAAATATTTCATTGCACCACGTAATCAAAAAACAACAAATTCATCATAGGTTATAACAAAAGCACCACACACATACATTTACTACGCTTTCTCTGGATTATACTTTCTTTAAACCGTGCATGCGTAATAAAATGAGATCATTATTTTTCATTTCATATTAAACACTATAATATCGATCATGTTTAATATATATATATTTTATATATTATATATTATATATTATATATTATATATTATATATAAAAGAAAAATGTTCCATTAAAATGAATCGTTATAAAATAAATATCAAAGTTAATCTCATTATTATTGCATCCTCCATTTTTCTTCTTCTGCTTCATTAAATATCTTATTTCACTCTCTAACTTGTCAATTAGTTATCGTAATAGTATTACATCGATAGATTAATCGAGATTAGGAAAGATAAAAGGAATAATAAGAGATCAATTGAATTAAGAGAAAAAGAGAAGAAGAAAAAGAAGAAAAAGAAGTAGAGGAGAGAAAGAGTGAAGGAAAAAAAAAAAGAAAAAAAAAGGAAGATAAAGAAAGTAATATTAAATTAACACAATTAAAATTACTTTTCAGGAATCCCTAACGTCAGGAAAGATGACCAAGGTATCGACTCCTGAAAATGAGAACATTTCAGAGAATCTTCTTCTGGGATCTAACTCGATTGACTTGTCAACTATTGGACAAGAACGAATAGAAGAAACCGAAGATGACGGAGGAACAATTGGAGTACAATGTAACGAAAGTGGAATGAAAAGTCGAGGTGCTGGTAGAAAACAGCATCATTGGAAATCGCAAAGCGTTGGAGAAACAACAGTGACGTCGGGGACAACTGGTTCAGATATTCATAATCAATGTAATTCACAAAATTCGTCAAACAACAACAACGGTTGTACGTTTCCTGGTGGGGGTGGGGGTGTACAATCAGGGGATGACGATATGCAACAAGAACAAACAACATTTTCGGCTAATCGAGAACTCTGGCAAAGAAGAGCAACATCGCAAACCCAATTGAATCCTCCAATATTACCAGGTAACAATACGACAACGACAACCTCATCCAAATCTTATCGAAGTTCTCAAGAATTTCGAGAAATGCGACAAAAACAGACGCCAGATCTCGTTATGGATTTACCATTGTCGGCTCAAGATGCAAGTAAAAAGTCAGCGTCGTCTAATAGTCTAAGTAGTTCCGACGATGAGACTACCATTGTTTTACCTAACAGAACAACAGAGGCAGCTACTTCGCCAACAGGTGGACCAGAATCACCCGACATGAGTACTGCCGCTGAACGTTTTGCTAAACAAAATCAATGTACCTTGAAAAAGAATACTAAAACTAATCCGGAAGGTTCCAAATTGAAACGTCTTGAAACAACGGATCATCTGGACTCGGCTGATATAGAAGGAACTGAAGAAATCGTAAGATCAGCGAGTACCAATCAGATATCTGATTCTTTAACACTTCGTTCACCTTTACCACCTAGATCAACGCCAAAAATAGTCGCCAAATTTGCGGATATGCATTTGACGGGTGGTAGCCAGGTATCTTCGTTTAAACCTCAGGTCAAAATCAAGCCAACGATCCTACGAAAGCCAGTTTTACCTTTTCCGCATCCTCACATGAGTCCAGAACTCGCGAGGAAGATTGAAAAACAAGCTCAGAGTGCCGAACAAGCTAATTGAAGATATACGCAAGTAATAATAATAATAATATGATATATGATACGATATAATATATAATATATGATATAATATAATATAATAATATAATTTAAAAACTTAATAATAATAATAATAATAATAATAATATTGATTAACTTGTTCGATTTAGATATAAAATCAGATCTACGATTATCATCGTCATTACTATTATCACCGTTATCATTATCATCGTCATTATCTCTTTCCACATCGACCAGTCACTCCGCCCATCACTTAACCAAGAAATTATGTAATTCCTCTCTGTGAGTTTCTTGAGAGAACAAAGAAATAGGAAAGAAAGAAATCACCTTTAAAAAAAATGATAAAAATACACAAAAAAAAAAAAAAGAAAGAAGAAGAAAAAGAAGAAAACAAAACAAAAAGATGAAAACGAGGACGAATAATAATAATAATAATAATAATAATAATAATAATAATAATAATAAAGAAGAAAAATCGTTCATTGGCCGATAGCATGGTCCGTTTTATCTGAAAGCATATGAAATAAATAATAATACACCCCATTGACATCATCCTTACATTGTTTTATCATTTAAAATGGTTTTAACCTCAAAATGGATATTTTGAATGCAATGAATAAGAAAGACAAAAAAATGAGAAAAAAAATAATATAAAAATCGAAAGAAGAAAAATAATTCTCGTTGCATAAAATAAAAAAAGAAAAAGAAAAAGAAAATGAAAATGAAAATGAAAATGAAAATGAAAATGAAAATGAAAATGAAATAAAAAAAAAAAAAAAAGAAGAAGCTTTTTTGCTTAGGTAGAACGGGCCCGGTTATCGTCCCATGGGCGTGAGTTTATTTTTTCTACTGAGAATCTTTTCCATTTTCGCATAATAATTTTTTTACCAAATATAAAAAACAAAATGAAACAAAACAAAGTGTAACAATTAAAATGAAATTACAAAATACAAAATACAATACAATAATAATAATTAAATAATAATAATAATAATAATAATAATAATAAAAATAAAAATAAAAATAAAATATGAAACAAACGAGAAGGGAGAAGAAAGACAGCAGACACGTTTCTAGTCATCAAAAATGAGAGAGAAAGAGAATTAAAACAAACAAACAAACAAAATAATAATGTAAGGAAATAAAAAGAGAAAAAATAGACAAAGATATTTGACAAAGGATATAAAAGAAAGAAAAAGAAAAACGATGAAAAGTGTAAAGAAAAGAAAAGAAGAAAATCCTGAATAAGGTAAAGTTAAAGAAAAGAAGAAGAAGAAGTAAAAGATGATGCATCGAATATTAAATAAATTTCACACGTAGAAGAAGATGAAGAAGATGAAATGGGAAAGAAGATAATGAAGAAGAAGAAGAAGAAGAAGAAGAAGAAGAAGTAGTAGAAGATTATTTAATTCATTACATGAAAATAATCTTAGAATTATTATAACGATATGTAATGTAATTTATTTTTAAATAATTAATCAGCATATCCACAAGAAGAAGAAGAAGAAGAAGAAGAAGAAGAAGAAGAAGAAGAAGAAGAAGAAAAAGGAAACTTCTTCTATTAACGATTTAACGATAATGTTTATGATTAAAAATAATTATTATAAACACGTTCGATGTTCCTTTAATGCGCAAACGAATATACGAGTATGAGTTTTTATCCGAAGAAGCTAAGATTTAACGTTGCCAAGCTTCTTGTTTACAAGTATGTTATTATTATAATTAAATAGAAGAAAAACGAACAGGGAGAAAGTGAAAGAGAGAGAGAGAGAGAGAGAGAGAGAAAGAAAGAAAGAAAGAAAAAGAGTGAGAAAATAAAAATAAGAATAGCAGTTAAAAATATTAAAAGAAGAAGAAGAACGAGTGAGATCTAATAATAATAAGATACTGGAAGTGATTTTCTCTTATACGTGCCAGTATCCTAATAGTTAGTGTAACATATATCATATATGTACAAGTATACGTGTATGTATGAGTGTGTAGTATTTATATATATAATATATATACGTATTCATATACATATGTATAAGTATGCATATAAATATATGCATGTATAAATATACACAGAGTTTTTCAATGATAAAAAACATTCCAAATTTTCTTATTCAAAATCAAATATTTCAAAAATAACAACCCTTTTTGAGATTGGCAAACTGAAATCATATGTTTTATTGACAAAATATTAATAAATTGATGTTAATAAAAAATTGTAATTGTTCAATATAAGACACTTTTTATTTTAAAGTATCTTTTATACATTAACTTTCAATTATCATTTAATTTTGTACAATAGTAAAAGGTCATCAATGATCACCGTAGTGTCTCAGAAGAAAACATGGCCGGTCATATATATTGAGTTTTAGCACTTTTAATAGATTGTGTACTATTAACTTTACAAATATGTTACGGAAAGGTTTGGAAAGGTGTTGTTGTCAAGATTTGTCGAACCCATAAATATAAATAATTTCATTATTAATTTTCTCTGTGTATATATATACATATATATATACATGTGTGTATTTAACATGGTGTATAGTATACGTTTTAATTATAGGTACTAATTACCGCAGCAATGTTCGATATATTCAAGAAGAAAGAAAGCAAACGAACAAAAAATAAACAAATGAGAAAATGGACAACAAAAGTATCAACAAATATAATAAACAATAAGTGTACAATAATTATGATATTTAACAATGTGTGTGCGTGTGTGCGTGAAAGAAAGAGAGAGAGAGAGAGAAAAGAAAGAAAGATAGAAAGAAAGAAAGAAAGAAAGAAAGAAAGAAAGACAAACAAACAAACAAACAAACGTATAAGACTCGTATTAACAATTGAAGTATTTAAATTGAATTTGAACTTTGAAGAAACAAAAAAGAGAGAAAGAGAGAAAGATTTCAAGAGAATTCAACGAATGTATAAGAAAAAAAAAAACAACAAACATGTGCTCATAATACATATGCCATAATTACACACATGCATAATAATTAACATACATATTGGGATCTCTAGCATTTGAATACGCTATCTGGTGGCTAAATTCAAAATTAGAGTAGATAGGTCGAATTGTTATGCCACGCCCCCCTGCCAGAGATCCCAATTACATAATAACATACATGCATAATATACTAATAATGTATAATGCCTCGTCAATTTATTCATGTCGCATTTTTCAGCTAATGTTCGTACACATATTATTGGGGAAAAAAAAAAATGTATTCGCGAATAAAATATTACACATACATACATACATAAATACATACATTACATTACATTACATTACATAATACGCTTAACTAAATTGATATCCATTTATGTACGTATATAAGGTGTTTGCAATGAAGTAATAATAATATCCCATTAACGAATAAAACAAAATGAATTAAAACAAAACCTATTATTGCAGATACCTTATACATAATATATACATATATTAATAATACATACACTTGTACACTTTTCTTCAATCATTGTCATCATCTTTTAATATTCTCTGAAAGAATCTAATTAGAACTATGAATATTTCTCATTAATAATCTTGAATACTTTTTGTTATGACATACTTTTACAGACACAAGTATAGTTATATATAAATTAGCTCGTACGGTATGAAACCTAAAATGGTAAGACCTCATCATATGGGTCGGTAGGTCATTAATAAATATGAGAGTCCATGGGAACACCCATATATATATATATATGGGTCATTAGTAACGAAAGGATTAAAAAGATAAATTACTAAAGGTAATGATCAAATAATTGTATAACTTCGTTTACTTTATTATCTTATCATCATCATCATCATCATTATCATCACCATTATCATTATAATATTATTATTATTATTATTATTATTATTAATTAATTATTGATTATTATTATATTACTATTATTATCATTATTATTATTATTATTATTATGATCTAAGGATCTTTATACGATATTGAAATAACGAAGAAACCATCGCAATCATTATTATACCCACCGCAATAAGATAAATGCCAAAGTTTGTGAATACACACACAATCTTCTTCCTCAAGAGACTAAGTCCCCAGAAAGTCTCCCTATTCCTCATCCCCAGAGACTCCCATTTTGTCCCTTTGTGAATTATTCTAAAATTGTGTATAATAATATTGTGCGTTTGTTTTTTAAAACGTCGTCGTTTTTAAACTATACTTTTTAAATCTTCGATGATATTTCTATAATATAGAAGTTTCCCCCTCCCCTCCCCTCCACTCCACTCCTCTATAAGGCCCCATTCTTCCCTTTCTACCCTACGCCATCTTTAACGATAGAGACTGAAGTATGATTAATTAATAATTTGATGAATTAATTAATCAATCCTCCTACTACCAACCAGCATATATTATATATATATAATAACCCTTTGTACCCTTTTTTCTCCCCCCACCCTTATCACTGTATTCCTCTTTGTGATCTCTTTCTCTTTCTCTCGATTAATTGTAATTGAATACGTAATTTTTAACAAAACACGAAAAAAAGGAAAAAAAGCAAAGAAAAGGAAAAGGAAAAGGAAAAGGAAAAAAAAAAAGAAGGGTTATGTCTTTATATCGATGATTTTAAGAAAGTATAAATTGCCTAAATATCTTCGATGATTCTGTGTTATAAGGCTAATGATGATACCATGAATAAAGGAACTTATTATAGGCTCTGTATCGATTCGATCGATTAAAAAACATCCATCATTGCTCGTTTATTTCCTTGTAATCCTTATTATTATTATTATTATTATTTTTTTATTTATTTATTTATTTATTTAATATATAAGATAAGAAATAAATATTTAATTCCTTTGGGAAATAATTTTGTGATACGAATTATTTGATAAGTTTACAAAGAGGTAAATAAAAAGAAAAGAATAGAATGAGATTAATATATAAAAATTTGAAAATTGGCGCGTTCATTTGACAGTCGGTAAGGAAGGGAGGACGGTAAAACGCGCGGGTGGATACGGTCGATAAGTCAGTAGGTCGATCAGCTGATAATAGAAATACCACTAAATGTGAAGAATGACAGATAAATATGCGCTCATGCGCATATATATATATATGTATATTAGTGTCGATTTTGTTGTTCATTCTCTTTCGGTTAAATCGAATATTATTCGCGTATTTCCGATCATCGTTAGTTTTATACCTATTTGTTTTTTTTTTTTTTTTTTATTACAATAATTATTATGTTTATAGGGGGAAAAAAAAATCAAACAATTTGATGTATGATTATAGATATAGAATTTGAAGAAAATTCAAGTGATCAAAAAATTATTTGTCAAAACATAGAAGAGAGAGACAGAGAGAGAGAGAGGGAGAGAGGGAGAATATAATAATGGCATGATGTGTCTGTATACAAATCAATTGATTTAAATAAACGTTAAATTTGTCATAGATCTATGAAGGATATAAATTGTTGATGTGGAAAATTACGCTTAAGCAACATGTGTATACCTTGTTATTTTTTTTTTTTGAATGGTATTTAACTTTAACCGAAAATCACAAATCGTTCTTCTATTTAAAAGTGTCACTTTATTATTATTATTATTATTAATAATAATTCGTGTGTCACACAGTTAAATGATAATTTGGATTCTTTGACAATTATATCTAAACAAAAAGATATGGAAGCCGAAGTAATATTGCAAAATATTTTTGGTAAATACAATGTTATGGAAATGCGAAAGATCTTACCGCAGACATCAAATACAAATTTTTTGAGGTAATTATAATCAATATAATTATTTAATTTAAAAAACGAATAAATGTTATCATTTACACATAGATTTGTTTAATATAAATGTATATTTTGAATAATTTATGTTTATGTTTATTTTAGTACAACAGATAGTATAGAAATGGTTAAAACTTACTTTCGTTATACATTAATACAATCAACTTCTCAAGAAAATTTAACAGACAACAGGATAGGCCGTATAGGACAGAAAGAAGTTAAATTTGATATTAATAGTCGTGTCGGTTTGATGATCTCGTCACCCGATAGAAATAGCGTCATTGCTCAAGGAAATTTTTGTACGATAAGAGCTAATACAGGAGTTTATAAGAATAAATGGATGTACGAGGTACAAATCGGTTCCAAAGGTATAATGCAAATTGGTTGGGGAACAATAAATTGTAAATACAGTTTAACGGTTGGAGTTGGTAAGTTAAATTATCATATTTGTTTTTTTTGTATAGTTGATTTATTTCACAAATATATTATTCTTAATAATATGTATTTGATATTTTGACAATCATAGGTGATACTCCTAATTCTTATTCGTACGATGGCAATCGCATTAAAAAATGGAACGTTAATCCTATCAGATATGGAGAAAAATGGGTACCTGGAGATATCATTGGTTGTACATTAGACATGAATGAAGGAATCATGAGTTTCTATAGAAATGGAAGAAATCTTGGTGTAGCGTTTGATGAGATACCTATGGGTCCCGGTATGGCTTATTTTCCAACCATAAGCCTGACATATACCGAAAGTCTCACAGCCATTTTTGGAGATATTCCTTTTAGATATCCCGTAGAGGATTATCAACCCATTGAAATGGTGCCAGAAATAGAAATTGCACATGCTTCGTTTATAATTCATTGGATTAATCAAATCTTAGATTACATGATTCAATTAAATTATAACATCTTATTAGTTGATAATTCAATAACTGTACAAGCATACCTCAATTGTATTTTAGAGGATTTGATGAAAAAACTTAGTCCTTTGCTTAGCATTTCATATGTCGTCGAAGTTGTCTTCATTCCTTTTTTATACGATATTACCGATATCAAATCTCTCGGTGCTAAGGCTTCACTTAGTGCTAACAAAAGTAGAATCAAAATAATGACTTTCTTAGATATTTTATGGACATTTTTGGATGAGACACAAGTTAAACATTTATTAGAAGAAATAATTGGCCTTCTTTATTTGCTGTTCAGACATATTCCATTTCAACCAGAATATTCAAAACAATTCGATATTCTAGCTTTATTAATCAATTTGTGTTTGCATACACAAACTCGACATTATTATTTAAATTATGAATTATTTGATCGTGTCAGATTTTTCAATTTTGTTTATATTAAACCGATGGATCATACGTTTCTTGAACATATCATTAATGAACCTTGGTGGGAAACCAATCCTTTAAATGAAGTTATCAATTCAAGAAAATTTGCGTACTTTAAAGCAATCGAGAACATTAAATTGTTAATAAAAGGTAATCATAACAATGATTTATTTTATAGATAAATCTTAATTTTTTTTTTTTTTATTTTGATTTTATTATTACAGATTTAGAGAAGATACAAGTATTGTTTTTAAAGATTTTACTTGACAATAATGACGGCACTGCCACTAGGGTTTCATCGAGAAATGTTTTTCTGACAAAATTTCAAAATTTCATTTATGATAATTTCGTTCGCGTAAGTTACATGACGTGTTGGTCATATTTATTCTATTACATGGATTACATTTAATTCCAAATATTCAGTCACAGTATTCCTCCAGACAGCAGCGCAAGTACATCATGTTCCTTTGGCACTTAGTCTCTGTAGCTTTTATCGACTTTTAACTGTATTTAGAGAATTATGGACTGAAGAAGTTGGAAATTTTACTGTTTATATACCCTGCAAGTAAGTTTTGTTTTTATTTGCAATTTTATAGAAGAAATTGATTTTTCTTTTTTCTTTTTTCTTTTTTTTTATTTTTCTTTATAGATTCTTCTACGACGAAACGATCAATTATCGTCAGATCGATAGATTAGGTGGAGTGTTAAGTTATTTGAAAAAAACTTATAAATATGAATTGATCAAAAGATTGGGTCCAGATCACAGAGTTATTAAATCTATCGAACAACCACAAAATAATTCATCTCGTTTCACAAGGAGAGGATATTTTCAAACACATTTGCCTCTGTATGATCAGAGAAACATCGAAAATAACTTGCAAATGGAATTTACAGAAAATTATAATCAACAACTACCGACATTAGTATCAAACAAATTATTAATATTATTGGACGCCCTTATATTATTTTATCATGGGACAGTAAAAAGACAAGTGTCCAAACTCAGTGCACTTCAAGATAATATATTTAAATTTTCTACCGCACTTTCAGAAATTAAAAAACGATTGATAGTTGTTGAGAATTATCGTACTAATGTCTTTCAAATGTTACAACAAGAATTAATAAATACGATGGGTGTGTTTGAACAAGAATTATGCAATCTGTCCAGACAAATGGCTTGGATTCGTGCAACGGTATTTTCAGAAGAAAATATGGCACAAATTGGTTGGTTTTTAAATGTGGTATCATTAACATTGCATGTAGCAAGCGAGGAAGGATATATGTTTACTTTTGTACCTGAATTTTATCTCAGTGCTCTTGCGGATTTATGCAACGCTATACGCGTTGAAATTAATTCAATTACGCCACTTCAAGTGATACCGGATCATACGCAAATCCTATTACATGTTAGCGAATTCATTTGTAGACATTATTTTAGTCCAATTATTATTAATATTAAATCGAGAGAAACACTATTGTTACTATTCGCTGGATTCGTATCTAATCCGATTACACTTAGAACGTTAGAAAATGTAAACTTGAGTAGTAGACTGAGAGTTATTCGAAATCTGTTAAGACCTGCAGAATATAGATGCTGGGCTCATTCATTGTGGATTCTCATGAGATTTTGGCAGGGACATGGATTCGCATTTCGTTACAAAAACAATCCGCATTATGGTTCAAAATATGGACAAAAATTGATCCAACAGCCAAATCATCCAAGTGTGTTTTATTATATATATATATATATTCATTTTTATATTTATTTTCAAATATTCATTATTTACTAATTTAATTATACATAATATTATATTCATTTTATTTAATATGTTTCAGAGCCTAGTCCTTCTGTAATATTTCAACTACACATAAGAGATAGACTGATAGAAAATATTAAATGCACTGAACGATTTTTAAATGGTCTTTTGAATCAAATAAATTGGGCTTTCTCTGAATTCATTGGTATGGTACAAGAAATTTATGATATTTCTTTGAAAAAAGAAAAACTATTCATCGATTCACATGAACTTAAAATTTGTTACACGTGCTTCGAAATAACCGTCACATCATTGAGAGTTTTAGAAATGATTTGTTTTTTGACACCATCTATATTCACCGATGAAACCTCCAATTGTGAAACTTTATTATGTAGATTATTTCAAGTACGTATTAATATAATAAGCTCATATATATATATATATACGTAGGTTGGAACTTAAATAATGGCAACTATTTATTCACAACCGATACAAAAGAGTTACATGTTTGCACCTGTTACTGTCCTTCAAAGTAGTCACCAGCGTTATGTAGAACCTGTTTCCAGCGATTTGGAAGGCATAGTATACCATTAGCAGAGCTTGTTCTGTTGATGGTGCGAATAGAGCGGTCTACTGCCATGTCTCATCCATTGTTACGATACGGCGTAAGAAAGTCTCTCCTTCGCGCTCATAGCGCTCCAAGTGCGTCTGAGCAGCGACGTAACCCATCCATTTCTGCATTTTCGTCAATTCATGTGAAACCCATCGTGGCATTCGGTTCAGAACTGTTCCAGAGATTCGACAGGCAGTAGACCGCTCCATTCGCACCATCAACAGAACAGGCTCTGCTAACGGTATACTATGCCTTCCAAATCGCTGGCAACGGGTTCTATACAACTCTGGTGACTACTTTGAAGGACAGTAACAGGTGCAACCATGTAACTCTTTTGTATTGGTTGTGAATGCCACACTGCGCTCAGACTTGTACACAGCATCATGGTCAAGTCAGGGCTGGTGAAGGACTGTGTCGACTTGTTGACACGGCTAGGCAGTGTCAACAGAGTAAAATTGCTCTGGGTGCCAGGTCACAGTGGCGTTCAGGGCAAAGTGCGCGAAAGGGCGCACGAGCTTGCCAGACTTGGAGCTTCACGGCACGATCCCGCAAATCGGTGCCATATCAGCGTGTCATGGGAGCTTATGCGAAGGAGGACTAAGAAGTGGGCCACGGATCGCTTCAGGGATCTCTGGGTGCAAGGCCCTGGCATGAGGCGTACGAAGGCTTTGTTCTCCGGGCCCTCGGAGAAGCTAGGTACCGAGTTGATCAACCTAGACCGAGCCCAATTGAGGCTGGTTGTGGGATTGGTCACCGGGCACTGGCACCTTAGAAAGCACCTTACGTGACTGGGCCTTGCACAAGACTCGGTCTGCGGCAAGTGCGGCGAAGGGGAGGATACCCCCCTCCATCTCATAACTCAATGTGTTGGGTTCACGGACGTCAGAAATGATGTCCTTGGGACCACCGTCAACAACACTTTCGACCTAGTGTGCTCAAGGGCGGCCAGACAGCTGCGCTTTGCAAGGGAGTCGGGGCTACCCGCGGGACCGCCACGATCATAGGTTTTTCCCCGCAAGGGGCCCGGGCCCAATGATCCAGAGACTGAGCGCCCGGGTTAACAAACCTCAAGAAAAAAAAAAGTATCGATTGTGAATAAATAGTTGCCACTATTTAAGTTCCAACCTACGTATATATTAATTTCTTGTCTTTAATGATTAAGAAATAAAATTTGATTTATTAAATCATTTTTTTAAAATTATTTTAGTTACTGTGTCAAATATTGAACAGGATGAGCTCGAAAAACGATATCTTCCAAAAAGTTTTGTCATTGAATATTCCACATTTAGCATTATTAGATCATTTTCCATTATTAACAGCAGTCATTGGAATATTATTGTTAATACTTAAAAATGACATGTCATGTTATATGCGTAAGTATAACACATTTTTATGTAATAAAATGTGTAATGTGTTAATGTAATATTATAAAGAAATTTATTTCATATTTTTATTAATCTAGAAAATCCTCAGATGAAAGTATCTAGAGTTACGGATTTTTTATTAAAAGAACCAAGTTTTGAATTGAGTTCTTTGTATTTCGTATTAGGAGAAGTTAATCCAAAATCTTCAAAAATAACAAATATACTACAATCATGGAAAAATACAAAAAGTCCACAAGTTTGGAAAAAAACAAATAATCCACTATCTTCGAAAAAAGAAACAAATAATTCTACAGAACGATTTTCACTTTTAAAGTGTAAGTATAATTTTTATCAAGAGAAATATATATATTATTTCTTAACGCATTCGCGGCCGCCATATTTTTTCCGTTTCTAATACAAAGTATCGGTCATAATAATGAAATTATGAAACTGGTTGTTGCAAAACTTGTATCATTAAAGTAAGGATAAAAGAAGATCAAATTTGTTTTGAAATATTAATATTACAATTATGTGTTGTTTAGAATAAAAAGATTTATCCAATTTGTATACTTGTAAACAACAGACCACTTGTGTCAGTTATTAACAGCCATTGGGCTGAATTTATTTAACGTTGTATTACAGTTATTTTGGAAAAGTCGAGTAAAAGGAACATTTCAAATTTCTGATTAGTTTGATAAATCGAAAAAAAAAACAATGATTTTTATATTTATATAAATTTTATATCATTATATATAAAATATATATAAATAAAAATTAAATATATATATTATATTTAATATTATAATAAATATAATATATAAATAATGTAATAAATTTAATATTATATATTTTAATGTTACATATATATATTATTATTTAATTATTTTTATTATTAAACTTTTTTTAAATTAATAATTTGTTTTTAATTAATAAAATATAATAATTAAATTGATTATTAATATTTAAAATGTAAAATGACTAGAATCACGTCAGCGGCAACCAGGAATAAAATTTGAAAAGATGTAAATTCACGTCAGCTGCGTTCGCGAATGTTATATAATTAATATAATTTGTTATATAAATAATTATTAATAATTATTATACATAGAAAAGTGTTGATCATTCATATGCATTATTATTAATTTAGATAATGAAAATTTGGACGATGATTTTATAAATGACGAAGAAATCCTTAAAATCAGAGTAATGTTGAATTATTTGGAATATTGTGATAGTCGTTTACCAGATTCGAAAAATTTAAGTGACGATGAAAATATTTGTACCATTTGTTACGCTAATCCAAAAGATTCCAAGTTCATTCCTTGCGGTCATATGACTTGTCATTTGTGTATCAATCATCATATTCTTAATAAAAAAGAATGTTTCTTCTGCAAGGCGAAAATAAACCAAGTTGTTAATATTAACGATACTCCTGAGAACTCAATTGAGGATTCAATAAAGCAACAACAAACTGGATTGTGATTTTTTTAATCGCTAAGAATTTTATCTAATAAATAAAAAAAAAAAAAACCAAAGAAAAAATGTATACAACACTTGTGTTAGCAAACAAACAAAAATATATTACAAAATATTATGAGATTATCTAGTAACAATTTACAATAAAAATTTGAATGAAACCTGGTGATATGTAACAGGTAGATGTATAAAAAAAAAAAAAAGAAAAAAAAAAGAAATATTATAATAAAATAATACACTTTTTATTTATCAAATACATCTTTCATTTAAACAAAAAAAATATATATATACTCAAATAATAATATAAACGTGTACAATAATATAAAAAATGATCTTTTAACATAAATAATGTTAAAAGTATGTTTTCGTATAAAGAATTGTTTTATTTATTTTTTTTTTTTTTTGATTTATTTATTGATTGCCATATAATATTGCGGTATAAAAATAAACAAATATATATCTACATCATTATCAGTCTTTATCCGACGTCTTAATTCTCACAATATTGCACTGAATAAAAATTCAATATTAAAATTGAATTTAATTAAGAACACAAACTTTGTCCCAATTGTATTCTAAAACCTGTTACCAAAGGTTCTTCTGCCAATGGTTTTTTCAAATCTTTAAGGGCTTCTATGGATACTATACCACAGACAAAAGCACCTATTGCAGTAATGGTAATTGCTAAGAGAATGAGTAAACGATCCTTATTTAAATATAATTCTGGATCTTTGAAGAGAATACTTTGAAGAAGGCATATTCCTGGTAATATGAAAATAAACGTAGCTGATAAAGCACCTAACAAATTAATAACCGGAGAAATATCTGGTACCGATATGGCTATAATCAATGATGCTATAAACCAAATAACAGTAACAAAACTTCTCGTTTTAACATTCTCATTGACCGTCAATCCAAATGCTGAGAGAATTGCATCTCGACCACAAAATAATACGATTGGATATGTTGTAAAGTTCTTAATGGCTATCGAAACTATTGCTAAGGTGACAATAGTACTTTTATCAGAATATCCTTGAAGTATATCACTAGGTACTTTTCCTATTCCAAATGTTGCATATCCAAGAATACCGACTATTGTATAAGCAATAAAACAAATGATCATACTGACTATGGCACATATTGTAAATTTTCCAAGACGTCGTTCTTTCATACAAGCATACATCGGTATCGCAGTCATGTGGCTCTATTAAAAAGATAATTAATTTAATCAAAGTTTATACACATGTTGATAAATTAAAAACAATTGTGTAACAAACCTGATACGCAAAACATATAATAGGAACAATATGCAATGCCTCGTAGACATTGTCAGGCCATATCTTCACAGAGGTGGGAATTGTTTTTGTAAAACTTTTATAACCGATCAACCAGACTACGTACAATATGGTTAGACAACCTACAGAACTAGCATAACTTAATGCATCCAATCGTTTGAAGAAACACAATGGAAATATGAAGATGCAACTGATGACAGTGGTAACAAATTGTCTGGACATATACCTGAATATATCAATAACAATATTAATTTTATTTTCAATAGATGTTTAAATGTAATTAAACGTTAGCAATAACATTGAAATGTTTACCAAGTGTGACAATAATCCATTCCATAATAAGTAGCCAAGACTCTGTCCAATTGATCACCAATGATAATTAAAAATGTTAAACAACATCCAAAACTGTAAACAGCAACACACAGGGCGCATACATAAAGAGATTTAGATCCGCACAAAGTTGCTAAAGTATCTTGTATGGTATTAGAGTTTGTAATGTCGCTACAATTTGCTAATACGATAAGAGCAGCTGTAATGAATATTAAAAATCCTAATTGAGTGGTTATAGAAGTAGCAATACCACCTGCCTTATCGAAGGCTTGTGGAAAATTTAAGAGACCTGCTCCAAGGGTAGCATTTACGATTAGAAATATTGTACCCAACATACTCGAACCTATAATATTATTTATTAATATATTAATATCAAGGAAAAGTGATTTTTGAAAGAATAAACAATAAACTAACCAGTTCTAGTTTCTTGGATACGCAGTTCCATAGGACTTGGAGCAGTTGACAAAAAGATATCGTTATTAATTAAACGTTCGGTTTCACCAGTCAAACAATTCATGTTCGACGCTATTTTAAAGAAGACTTATTTATTCGAACTAACTATTCATTCCTATCGTTCATATCATTAGCGATAGTCAGACAAATAAAAATAAAAAGGAAACCTTTATCTACAAAGCTCGATTTGACATAAAAGGCCATAGGTCAAAATCCATGAAAATTTTAATCAGTTTTTATATATGCGAGAAATAAGGTGCAATGTATTCTTAAATCAATATTTATTACACACTTATCATTGAAATGAAATAATGAATTTCCTTTGTTGAATCTTTCTCACTTCATTCACCATTTTCATATATTTACAAGTGTATATTAAAAAAAAAAAAAGAAAAAAAACCAAAATAACATTCACGTCGATAAAACAGTTTAAAGTATGTGTGTGTTGAAGAATACAGAAGTAGATAAAAACTCATAGGTTAACTTTTCACCTAACCTCACTGATCTTAGTTACTAACCTGACAACAAGTGGGCAATAGTAAGTAGTTAAAAAGATAACGATATAAAACTATCAACAAATATAGGATTCTTTGATATGATGTTGCTTTTTAACCTCAAAATTCAAACAAGTTTTTATTATTAATCAATAATTAAATTAAATTAAATTAAATTAATTAATCCTTTTTTTATTTGATATGCAAATTTTTAATATCGTAACGATAAAAATCATCAATCAGTTTGTTTTTTCATTAAAAATATTAGAAATAATTTGACATGCGTAGGAACGACCATTACTTTTCCTTTCATCTAGTATAATATAATACAATTATATTATTGTAATAGAATTTCAAATAATTATATTTAAAAATTAATATATATCATAATAAGATAATTCGAAATAAAAATATCATTTTCCTTCTGCTGTCAAATCGTAAGTTTCCTAAGTGTGTCGAATGGCGGCGCTGCTGTCGCGTTATTTGCTATCAGCTGATCTATTACATATGACTTTGAATAAATAATCGATGGATGTGTATGGTATGTACATTAACTGAAGAAATAATTGAATAATACTTTATCTTTATTCAATTATTTTAGTTGTAAAAAATTAATAGATACAAAAGATTATAACAAAAGATAAGTGTATCTTGGATATAAAAAAAGAAACGAAACAGCAAGTATATCATAGCTATGTTCGGTCGTATATTTTCATCAAATTTTCGTAAGATTTCTGTAAGTAATCAATAATGATCAATTAATTAAATATTTAATAAATATATATTTTATTTGTATTGTATAAAAAAAAACCAGAAAACATGTTTGATATTACAAATTATCCAAATCTTTAACAATTATCCTTAATTAGAGACAAATTTAGGTTATCCTTCAATTAATATTTACATGACACCTAAATACCTTCTCCTGTAGTAATGGTTCCAAAAGAAAATGAGGAAGTCCACTAAAACGAAAGTGTTTCAGTTATTGTCACGAGTATGGAATGGACCCAACGGTGCACTTGCTGGCAAACAGGCAGAACAAAAAATGATTTCTTTATTACGGAACAAGTTTCCTAAAGCTCAACTTATAGAAGTAACTGACGTTTCTGGTAAACAAAATATATATCAATCTATTTTAATATAACATGCAAGAAAAAATGAAATTTAACTAACCATGTTTTTTATTTCTTTGAGGTGGTTGCGGTGCCATGTTTGAAATCAATGTTATTGCACCGGAATTCAAAGGTTTAAACACAGTTAAACAACATCGCTTGATAAATGAGGTAAAAACAAAATTTATTATGGTATAATAAATATTAATTGTTTATTTTGAAAGTGGCATCATAAGTCACTTTTTCCAAAATATTTCTTTGCAGGTACTTAAAGAAGAAATCAAAGATATGCATGGTATTAGAATTTATACCAGAATACCAGACACGTAGAAAGGAAGTTAATTGTAATAGGATTTTGATCAAATTTTCAAAACGCAACATATATTTATTGATCTTTTTTCAGTTCGTTCATAAATTTTATAATACTTTTTTGAAAATTTTTTTACACAAATAATGTATTATTAATCGAGATATAAATTATTATCTTTTTTTTTTTTCAAAAAAGAAAAGAAAAGTAAAGAAAAGAAAAACAATATAGTCAACATAATTAAACATTTGTAATTGTTTTATGTTCATAATAGAAAATTTGAGATTAGCCGTGTTAAATTTGAATAAATATTCTTTTTTTAAATTTCCCTCCTCCGTCAGATGGAGCAGTTGACACTCGAACTCGAAATTCAAATGGAAATCGAATAAAAAAGCGCGCTTATTTTATTCGAGTTTACTAACCTTAACAGTTAACCGTTATGATTTGTGTTGTTATTGTTGTTTAAAAGACATTAAAAATGAACGTGTCCGGTAAAATTCTTTACGAAAAAATCGAATATTTAAGACCAGATTTGTCTACTAGTATAACACCCGACATATTTGATAAAATATGCGATATATCAACGGTCCAACCTTTTTTAGAATGGTTTTGCACAAATGTCAGTCGTGCTAATGTATTAACCAAAGAAGAATTATATCTGTAATATACATATATATACATACTTATTATTTATTAATGATCTCGATTTATTTATTTATATTTGAATTATTATTTAAATTTTTTACGAATTATATATCTTATAGAAAAAACAAATTAGAAAATACGGATGAATGGTTAAGTGGAAAAGAATTGGATGAAGCACTCGAAGAATTAACTCGTGATAATCCAGAATTATTAGAATTAATTGATTTCGAAGATGAAAATGTCAACGAAAAGTTTGCCGAATTAGAATCGTTGAAGGATCTTTATAAAATGGACGAAGACTATGAAAAATTATTAAAGAATAATATATTGAATTTAAAGTAAGTACTCTTATGTGTTTGTATATATATACATATATATTGTATATATTGTGTGTATTTTGTAAACATAACCTATACAAAACTTGATTTAACATAATTTACTTATTTATAGAGAATTAGAATATTCATTGGAAGATAAGATAGAACAAGAAGAGAATAATTATGAAAAAGAGCGAATAGAACTATTAAAATCATTCAACGATTGCAATGATATTCTTGAAAAATTTGATGAACAAAATCGCAGTTTTTCTCGAGAAACTGAACAACTTCTCAATGTCTATACAGATGCAATTGAAAGTGTAAATAATTAATTTTTTTTTTTCATTTTATTTATTATATTAAATTGTATAAAAAGATTTTATGTATTTATTTTATTTTTTGTTTATTATATAGAAAGGATTACCAATATTGTGGATACAAATGCCCATTGATTTATTCATCAAACAAATCAAGCTTTACAACGATTACTTAGATATATTGATTAAGCGAGAATTCAGTGTGGATAATCAAGAGGTAGAACAACAACAACAACAAAATAAACAACATGATTCAGATTACGAAACTTTCATAAATGACAGTAAAGAAAGACAAATGTATAAACATACGCAAGAATTAGCAGCATGCAAATTAAAGTATTTTATTTGTATTTGTATAATATTAATATAATATCATTTGAAATGTGTAAACTATACATTTTACACGTTTACAGACTTACTCATTCAAAGTTAAAAGAAGTTTATATGAAAATGCATGAAGCATCTTACAGAACGATGCTGGAACATGCTTGTTTAATATGGAACGATGGAAATTTAAAATTACTCGAACAAACGCATTTTCTGTGAGTTAATAAAATAAATATAAATATAAATATAAATATAAATATAAATATACAAATATCTATTCTAATTGATTTTATTTCATTCAATATTTTAGAGACGAAATTGTGGATTTGAATAGAAGAAGAGATTTTTTGGAAGAGAATATTACTCTTTTAAGAGAACGACAACTTCCAGAAGTTATAGAACAATATGTAGAAACTGCAATAATTCAAGTCTTACAACAAGCCTTGTTAGTCAGATTGAGACGAAGACAAACGCGATTTGATAAGTTAAAATCTTTGTTATCTTTCACTCGTGAACATGGTCATGCTTATTCAGATTTATTATGCATATTAATGGATTCTCAATTTCATTCACTCAAAGAAATATCCGAATTTATTGCCAATGCTCGTCATTATTTAACCACAGAATATTCTCTTTCTTCTTCTCGTTGTGTAAGTTATTTTGTTCTTTTTCTCATTTTATTTTCAATCATCAATCAAGAATTGATCTAGATAAGATATAATCTTAATGAAATTTTATAATTTAATTTAAATATATTTGTTAATAGGAAATTATGCAACAACAGCAGGAAGAATATGCGACAGTTCAGGGTTCCATTATCAATCAAAATATCTTTAACGAATTATTTATATCCATGATGTCGATCAATGATGTTTCTTCTGATGCATTAAATCATGCACTAGTCAAATACAATGATTTAATATCGAGTAATAAAGAAAAGAAACAATTTATACTCGATACATATATAAAGAATGAAATCAATAGGATATTGGAATCGTAAGTAATATTATTAATGTTTTATTATTTTGATAACTCTCTTTAAAACAATTTAATATCAATATATTTTTCACAATCAGGGAAAAAGAAGTATTGAATAATTATGATAAAGAAAGAAATATTGGAATTACTAGAAGCTTTGTACCTCTTTCATACAAATTGAATGTGCAATATCATAAAACATTGGAACTATTTGAAAATGTTAAAACACATTTAACGACAGTGAGAAACGCGTTAAAAGAAAAAATGGTAACAAATATATCAATTATATTAATTATTTTATTAAATTATAGTCTTTAGGTACTAATTAATTTAACATCATTTTAAATGCAACGTGTAATCGTTCATAAATTCATTTTTTTTTGTTTGTTATTGTTGACGTTTTCTAACCTAACAAATTTTCAGAGAAACAACAATGATTTGGAAAAAGATAAAGACATTTTGTGGCAAAGATTTTTAACCGATCCTGAAACGTTGAGAAAGCATTACGAAGAGACTAAACGAATGGCAGATCGATCACATTTTGGAAAGGATACTAGTTGAATAAGACTTTCAATAGAATAAGCGTATAAGAACATTTTTAAACCCTTTGACATACAAATTTTATTTTGAAATTTACATTGCTTTATAACATTCAATAAAATTGATAATTAATTAATTAATATACTATAAAATAATAATTTCATAATTTTGTAACATTTGATACTTCATAAAGCAGAAACAGCTGAAAACAAACAGTTGTTGACGTTTTGGAGATGTCAAATGTCTACAATGACAGATAAAATAAATGACGTCTCCGAGACGTCATTGTATGTCAAGGGATTAATGCTTTAATCATTTTTATTACAAAAAAAGAAACAATAAGAAAAGAAACAAATAAATATATATTAGGTGGACTGGAAAGTAATGTCGTTTCTACAAATGTCAAATTTTGTATATTTTTATCAAAAACCGATTGATTTTTATCAATTTGATATTAAACATTTGCATACTAGATGAAGAAAGGTTATTGATAACAAGATTGATTATGTTATTGACTAAAAATATAAATTTATTAGAAATTTATTCTTTTGAATTTAAGGTTAGAAAGCGACGTTACTTTATATATATATATATATAATATATATAATATATATAGTTACTAAACAATTGAATAATCGAACATAAAACTAAAGCAATATAATAAAGGATAGGAAATTAAGAAGATCATTCAAATAATAATAATTTACATTCGTGCTATTTCCTTCTTTCTTTATTTTTATATTAAAAAGAAAAAAAAAAAAAAGTACGAATTAAATCCTTGAGAACAGAAGAGATGACTAAAATAATATCCTTTCTAATTCTTTCTTTTTTTTCTCTTGCATATAGACACATGAACACACACACACACATCAAAATGAAACTATTTTACATCATCATCCATAGCTCAAAATGAAATAGTATTTTTATATTTAGAGAGAAAGAGAAAGAGAAAGAGAGACAGAAACAAAAGAGAGAGAGAGAGAGGGAGATTGAGTGAGTGAGTGCAGTTAACGGTGAGACACCAGAATGCTCAACGTTTATTCAGAATGAGTGACTGTAGTGTGGCGAGTTGTTGTGGTGGGCGGGGAAAAGGGGAGGGAGAAGGTTGTGGAAGGGGAATGTTATGAAGGACTAGGTGGGGATGTAAATAGAATGATGAAAGAAAGAAAGAAAGAAAGAGAGAGAGAAAAGTTATGTGGAACTGGGACGTGGCTATGAAAGAAAAAGAAGAAATGATGATGGTGGTGGTAATGGTTGTGGTGGTGGTAGTAGTGTAAGGGTATTATCGATTCGCCGGGGCTCGCAAGTTAACGGTTTGTTTACAAGACCGTGGAGGGGAATATATATGCGCGCATGCGCTACGTGGCCAAAACAATAATAACATAGTGTAGTAAAGAAGAAAGGTTCATAGCTGATGGACGAATGTGTATTATTATCGTCCCAGAAGAACTAATCTATATAACAAACTAAAGAACTTGATATTATTCTTCTTTATATTATCTGTGTATTATTTAATATCTCTCATTTCTTTTATCTTATTGTGTATATTCAATTAATTGTATTTTAAATATATAAACAAAGATAAAAGTATTATAATCTATTTTACTGTGAGTTATCTATGTGTGTACATTTTAAAACATATATCAATGAGAAAAATTGTTCCTGTTGAATCGATACAAGTAATATAATAAACGTGACTATAATAATAATAATAATAATAATCAAGAGAAAGAGAGAGTGTGCGTTAAAGATGATAACGATAGTGAGATGATGAAATATATCAACGTTCTAAATCAAAAGAATAAATTGGGATTTCATTGAGAAAGAGAGAGAGAGAGAACATTTTTTTTAAATAAACAGTGTATCAGAGACTGTACGTTGAGAAATAGAGAAATATTATATAAAAGCTTAATGATATAACATTATATATATATATATATATATATGTATATTTATATATACATGAAAACATAGCGTTTCTCTTTTCATAACAAGCTTTGTATTTCATTGATAATTACAAATTGTGGATTTTTTCTGTTTCATTTTACGATAAACATCCCCCACATTAAAGAAAAATAAATAACAAGAAGGAAATCAATAATAATAAAAAAAAAAAACAACGTATTGAATTTCAATAGAAATTATAATAAAGGAGGAAAAATAAATAAATAATACTACAAAAGAGGATAAAATTAAATATATATATATATATATATTTGAAGCGTATTTATCGGATGAATCAGACTTTGCGGTGTCCAGCAAACGTGCTTGAAGAAAAATAAATAAAAAAAAGAAGGAGAAGGAGAAGGATAGTCATCCAGGTCGTGGAAGTGGTGGTAATGGATTAGTAGTAGTAGTAGTAGTAGTACTAGAAGAAGTGGATGGTGCTACTAGTCCTATTGCTGATTCTCTCCTAGTATTATTCTGATGGTGGTGGTAATAATTGCGCGCGAGTGTACGAGCGCATGGTCAGATCGAATAATTGACTGTGGTAGTGTGGTAGTGGTGGGTGGTTAAAAGAGTGGTGGCATGGTATGGTGTATATTCCACAATCTCCGGCATAACAGAACAACGTGATCTCACTACCGTCGCGTTTGAACACAACAAATTTCTTACTTGTGTGTGAATATCTCTCCTATATAAACAAATTTATATTTATAATAATAAATAATCAATGTGTCTCTCTCTATACGTGTAACCGTTGTATGTGATATGATGATATGTAATAAACACGTTTGCGAATAAGAATGGTTAATAGAAGAGACCTTGTTCTTATACAATACACGAGGTGAAAAGTAAAGAGAGTACATTGATCGATCCAAGCCACGCAAACAAGAGAAACCTTACGTATGTGTATGTGTTATATCCTTACGTGGTGTTATATACGTGTATGTGCGTGAAAATAGTCAAGGAGGCGGCCGGTTCTGTTGTAAACAAAGAATCGATCCAATCGTTTTGAAAGCATACGTACACACACACACACACACATATATATATATATACATATATATTTATAACAGTATATGGACTACCAGTTTCTATTGTAAACATAGTCAAATCCCTTTGAAATTCTTTGAAGTGGATAAAAGGATTCACGTTTAAAAGAGAAATAATCATCATCTTCCAAGATGCCAACCGCTCAAGACACGACTACGTACCTGATCGAAGTAATGCCAGGAGAAACAACTCAGGATTTTCTATCTCACGATGTTGATCTACTCGTATCGCAAATAAAGGAAAATTTACGATTAAACGGATTGAAAGCTAAATCTAGCACAGTTAATAGAAATCGTGCTACACCATATCGAGTACCATCGTCCCGTTCCTCATGGGTCGACTCTAACAGTTGCGATCTTTGTAATGCACAAAATCGAACTGATAAATTAAATGGTGCTCAAGTACAAGAGGGTTTAGATCAACAACAACAACAACAACAATTGATTCATTATCAACCTGAATTTTGGCAAATAACACAACAACAACAACAACAACAGCAGCAATGTTGTCATCGATATCATCATCATCATCATCATCATTGTCAACACAGTCATCATCGTCATCGTCATCGTCATCAACGTCAACATCTTCATCATAATTGTTCCAACAACGACAGAGAAGACGACCCTTATGAATTGTTACAAGAACTTTTACGAGGAGGTGGTTTGATCAAGGAAGCTGTCAAACGATTAAAAGCTAATTTCGTTGAATACAAATGTTCAATGGATAAGAAACTTCAAGAGGACGACGATGACGTCGACGACGACGATGACGTTGACGATGACGATGATGAAGATGACGAAGTGGAGGATGGTTTAGAAGATGGAATGGTTATTAATGGTGCAAAGGAACGTTCTATGGTGTATCGGAGGAAACCTTATTTCTACGATTCCGAAGATGAACCATTGGTTTACGAATTATGAAAGAGATATAAAAGACAATTTAAAGTGTAAAAGAAAAAGAAGAAAAAGAAGAAGAAGAAGAAGAAGAAAAAAATAATAATTTAATTTAATTTAAATAGAATTCGGATTATCTCGATTTTATATCACACATTCGAATTCTTCATTAATAGAAAGAAAAAAAAAAAAAAGAAAGAAAAAAAGAAAACAAAGCGCCAAGGAATAATAATAATTTATCATTTGTCTCTTTTTCGTTTATCGTCCATAATTTATTTTTACTGTAACATTTTGTTTCTTTTTTATTTTTACAAATGAAATTTGTAAAAATTAACATGACGAATTCGTAGAAATTAAAATGAGAGTAACGGATGTTTTTTTCTTTCTTTCTTCTCTTTCGGCGCTTTTCAAATTATGTGTATATGTGTATACGTATGTGTATAATATTTGCAGGCGTGCGCACGCGCGCATACTTTGCTCCGTTCTGCTCTGCTATTGTGTGTGTGCGTGTATGTGTATAATACGTGTGTAAACACGTTTAGAGAGGACAAGCGTATTCCCCACCACAAATGGCCGTGTTTGTAAATATGCTGCCGCCATTATTACGTACACGCAACACGAAACACAACATCGGAAAACGAAGATGATCGGTTCGACAATATTCGGTTAAGTTCGGGTATAGACGCACAGGGGCGTATCGACGAGTCACGAGATCTCTCTTACGTACGAACCATACGTTTTAATGACGATATTTTGTAGGAGTGGGGGAAAAGAGTTCTTGGAAAACCGTTGTATATTTTGTTAAAGAGCAAGAGAGAAACGTAAGGGACTAAACGAAGATAGAAAATAACGAAAAAGAAGAATTCTTTCCAGAGTGTTGTTACTTTTAGCACGACTTTCAAATTTTTAATTATCGAATAATTATGAATCGATTATTTGTCTATCGTATAAACAACAACATATCGTTCGATTTTCTTCAATTAATTTCAATTAAAAGTGCAAATATTATATGAAAAATGAAAAATTTCGATATATTTCGAATATTTCATTTAAAACACAAATCAAACGTGTTGCTTGTTCAACATCGATCGATGATTTATTATCGATCGAAGATAAACAAAAGATTTCTCGTATTTTTATTTTTTTTTTTTTGTTATCAGTCAAATTATTTTGTTGATAAAAAAAATATGGCAGATATTGAGAGAATATATTTTATTTTATTTTTTATTTTATTTTCCAATAGAGGAATTTGAACGATACGTGAGAAATCTTTGAATTTAAATACAAAGTTTTCAATGTTCCTTTTCTGATACGTGTACATCGTGTTTACATACGACATATACACACATATATATATACACATACAAATACATATCACACACGCATATATATGTATGCATAACGAAACACAACAAAGGAATACCAATCATCGTGTGAAAGAATGTGTAAAACGTTATTAAAAAGTATTGAAACACACACACAAGTTTTGCATTTGAAATTCAATTTATTGTGCAAATCAAATGAAACCATTGTTTTTTTTTTTTTTTTGGTCAAATTAAATTCACATTATTATTTGAAAATATTTCAAATTACATCATAATACCCCCCCCCCCTTATGGCTTGTGAATTATTATAAGTTAAATCATATTTATATATGTACATTACCTTATTAAGTATATTATTTATAAACATTTTGATTATAAATTTTAATTAATAAATTATTACAATAAATAATAAGGTATATAAAAATAAATGTTAATACGATTAGATATTTTTTTTTGTTATTCTTATTGTTCTTTTGTTTTTGTACAAAAATTGAAGTACAAAAGTTTGTGGTATCAAAATTTGATTTGTTAGAAAAGTTGAATTTAAAATGCAAAACTTTTTTTTTTTTTTTTTTTCAAATGAATTATAATTTAATAACAACGTGCATCAACAAAATGAGACATACAGTATATATATATATATTTAAAACAAAGAAAAAAAAACATAAAAAAAAATAATAATAATAAACTAATTAATATTCTCATCGGCTACCTCCAGAGCATTTCAATACACTAAAATAATTAATTAATTAATTAATTGCATCCTTCCTAGTAGAAATAGACATATATATATATATATATAGGAAAAAGAACAAGAAAATGAAATAATAAAAATCAATATTAAAATGAAAATGACAAAATCAGAAAAAAAAGAAGAAAGAAAACGAAAATGAAAAAAACAAAAAAAAGATAAATAATATCGAAATAGCACAACACGAAACTTCGGTTTCAAAATGGCCGACTAATTTTTTTCTTTGCTTGTATGTTTATTATTATTATTATTATTATTATTATTATTATTATTATTATTATTATTATTATTATAATTCTGTTGTTTTTTTTTTCGAAATTGAAATAATGCAAACCACCTACAAAAGTAAAAGAAGAGAGAACGATCGTGATTTAATCAAATATGCAACCTTTCAAAAAAATAGGATATTTTAAATGATAATATTAATTGTTTTCTTTTATATTTTTTTTTTCCTTTCTTTTTGATTTTTATTTCTTTTTTTTTCTTCGATCGTGTTTCTTCAATCACCGAAGACCGTTGTTGCATTTTCTTTTTAGAGTATTATGTATGATTAAAAAATTCAATTGTGCTGCGTGAGTGTGTGTGTATGCGTGAAAAGATGTTTAGAAAAAAAAAAGATTACATGTAAACAAGTAAATAGATAAATGAATGAATATTAACAAATTAATAAATAATAATAATAATGATAATAATAATAATAAGAAGAAGAAGAAGAAGAAAAAGAAGAATTAACACTAGATATACCACTATTTTCAATATACCTATTTCTACACCACACTAGTCAAAATGAGACTGGTGTATAAAAAAAAAAAATGCTTTTTCAGACTCCCAGTCTTTATTTACTCTTAAAAAATAACAAAAAAATGTTTAACAATAATAATTTTAATAGATAAATGGATTCATAGACATTTTCAAATTATTTACAGAAATTAAATGTTACATGAAGTAGAAATTTTCAATTAAAATGGCGTCAAAACCAATCAAAATGACTGGTTTGGTATATCTAGTGTTATAAAATACAAAAAAATATTTTGCTGTGCATGTTTTAGTGCATAGTCATTTACTTCTAGTAATAATTATGTTATATTATTATTATTAATATTATTATTATTACTATTATTATTATTTAGTTTTCTTGCATTCTATTTTTTTTGTTCTGGTTTGTTAAATAGATTAGAAAACACGAGAAGCAATCAATTTGTAATTGGGCAAATCCCATTGTGCCACGGGATGATGATTCATATCTCTGACGTCGAAGGAAATTGTTGAACAGGAAACAGCTCTTGTATGAAAACTGATGCGATTATAATCGATATTTATAGCTGTATCTTTCTCATCAATATGAATATAGAAATGTGTGCTATTGTTTGGATATATTGTATGCATGTATGATGTGTGTGTGTGTGTATGATGATGTGTATATGGGAATATGTTTGTGTGTGTTATTTAAGGTGCTTGCAAAAGGCACTAATGAAAAGAATACGTACGACTCTTCAGTTTGATGAAATCGCCTTAGTTAGGTTATTAAAAGAAATTAGTATACTAAAAATACATGTATGTAGTTGTTGTGTTGATGATTAAAAAGAAAGAAAGAAAGATAGATAGATAGATAAATAGATAGATAGATAGATAGATAGATAGATAGATAGAAAAAGAACGCGTGCACGTAACGAGCGTTTTATTTAAACTCATAATTAGATAAATGAATTTTTATGTTGTCCTATTATTAATAATTTTCTTTCTTTCTTTCTTTCATACATTCATTCATTCATTCATTCATTCTTCTACCTACTTCTTCTTCTTCTTCTTCTTCTTCTTTTTCAAAACAGTGGTATTTAAGCTCCTATTTTCATTTCTTTTTATTTTTTTTTTTTTTGCTTTTTATTTCCTTCAAAAATTTCGTCGAATAGAAATGAAAAAAAGAAAATGATAAATCGTGTTGTACGATAGTTGGAGATTTTTTGTCTCCTATTGAAAAAATAAAATAAAATAAAATAAAAAATACATTGAGAGACTAGAGAGAGAGAGAGAGGGAGAGAGAGAGAGAGAGGGAAAGAAAAAAAAAAGAAACCGATAAGTTTTGTTTTGACTACCGTATTATGTACATAAATATTTGTATCGTTTCGTTTTGTTTTGTATTTAATATGCAATACCAATTTGAATCATCGATTGATTAGCAACAGTAGTAGTAATCATATATAATAGTATGCATTTACTATTAATCACATTGAAATGTGTGCGTGATATCTGATTAACCTCTATATATATTATGTTGTATATATATATATATATATATATATATACATGACACGTCATAATCATCATGTCATCATCTACTACGAAAACTTTCGAAAGCCAAATTTTTAATTTTGATTGCATAGTCCGTTATAAAAATATCACGTGACTATGCTTTATTTGTCATCATTACGTGTGGTTCGGCTTATTTATTATTATTATTGTTATTATTATCGGAAGGTTTTTTCTTTTTTTTTCTTTCTTTCTTTTTTTTCTTTCTCTTTCTCCTCCTCCTCCTATCATTATCCTTTCTATTTAATTCTAATTTTGATCCTCGCAGTTTGTTTTTGAACGAACTTTTGAAAAAGTTTTGAATATTTTTACGTCGGTCAATTTTATATTCCACTTTTTTTTTCTCTCTCTTTATATTTTATCTTTTTTTTTCTTTTTAATTTTTTTTTTCGACTAAAATTTACAAACTTTTGATTTTGTATATCAGTGATGAATTTTGTTTGTTTTTTTTCTTTTTTGTTTTTTTTTTTTGTAAATAATCGATTAGGGTAACTTTATTTTTTGCTATACGTTCGCAAAGTAAATAAGAGGAATTTTAATGACAAACTTTTGACCTTGGTCGCATATTGACACAGATTTCAACGCGAGATAACGAACATAGATATGTGACCTAGTTGTGTATACGTTATATACGTGTACATCCATACATACGTGTGTACGTGCATACATCGGTTATAAAAATATTACGATCGATAACATTGTAAACAGTAAGAAATAATTATTTCTAAATATGATTCAATGAATCATTGAACTTTGATATCATAAAGAATCATTTTAAGTGGTATTAAATATCATTGATTTAGCATTTATTATTAATGATAACGAAAAGAAATACATATTTCAAGAATTCGATATTTTCTAAGTATCATATTTAATAATATTTTTGTTTAAAAAGATCTGATTACATTTTATCGTTTATTTTAAGTAAAAAAAAAAAAAAGAGCTGTGAAAGATTAAATATAATATTAGTATTATTTTATTTTTATTTTTGTGTGATAAGAGAGAAAGAGATAAAAAAACCAATAGGTGACGTCGATCGTATGCAGATGTGTTTTGATTGGTTGGTAAAAATAAGTTTAGATAACTCAGCCAATCGGTGTCCTATTTAGTGTAAGGTAAGTTACGATATAAATTTTAATTTATTTATAACGATTTATATACATATATATTTAGATTAATATTCTTATTCATCTCTCATATTTAATTTTTATTGGAAAAAAAAAAATAATATTTTGATAAATGAGATAAAGTAAAAAATATATTTGACGTGACAAGTTCGTCGTCGTGTATTACTGCGCAGAATTCAAGATGGCCGAATCTGTTTCTACGGGCACGTATGTATACGTACCATTGTAACGTTTCTTCATATATTTTTATATCGTTTAATTACATTTATGAAGAGAATACATTTATTTCATAAAATTATTCATTCGTTCTTCTTTACGCAAAGAAGGTATCGTCGAATTAATCGATCATAATGGAGGACAACGATACAATCGAACGATCGAATACAACATCGCGATTTAAGCGATGTATTTACCAGTGATGAGCAAAACAAATATTATGTCAAAATTTTCAAAAATATATTTTTAATTTATTCATATATACATCAGAGTTGCATTACGATTAATTAGTTTGTATATATAAAAAGTCAACATTGTACGTTATCTTTTTTTTTTTTAAACGTCACAATGTTTATTTTCGACAAAACATTTGCAAATAAGTTCAAGGATCAGTATTATTGCTCATCGCTGTATATAATATGTATATACAGGTTGCATTACAAATATGATAAATAAAATCTAACCTCTATTATAAAATCAAATTAAGTTCACTTTTAGGACAAAAATTGAATTTCAAATGACAATACAATATTTGAGGATCAAGTTAACAATTGTAATAATTAATTTCGTAAATAATTAAAATAATAGTATTAAGTGTTTGTTAATTATATTTATATTGATTATATAATAAATTTATTGATAAATAATTTTAAACCGAGATTATCAACTTCCGTAAATATAAAATATCGAAGTATAATTAATTGAAGTAACGAATGAACGTAATAGCATTGTAAACGTTGTGATGTGGTGGATCTACTTTCTTTTTAGAAAGTATCATTGTAAGAAAATAATATATGTGATATATATATCTCATTCTCACGGTTCGAAACTAATAAGAACACATTTTATTATTAATTTGTTATATTTTCAAATATTTATATATATATTATTAAATTATTACTAAATATTACTATATTAAATTACTATACTAAATTACTATACTAAATTACTATTAAATATATATATAGATTTATATATAATATTTTTTTTCTAAATAAAGAATAATATTCAAATATGTTTTCCTTTTAATTCAAGGAAATGTTTTATTTTCTTTTTGTCCAGATTCAACATGGAGTCCTATTATGCACGTGGTGACCATACCCTTAAAGTTCCTATGTCTCTTTTTCGAGAAAATCGTGAAAGACTTATAGCTCGTTTGAAAAGAAATTCCGATGTTTCAGCTGCTAAAACTTTTGTTATTCTTCAAGGTGGGATCGAAGTCCCTTTTAACGATACGGATACCAACTGGCCTTTTAGGCAGGTAGGTAGATATTTGCATTTTTGTTGTTGATCCTTTCTAAACTGACCCTATGACGAAATTAAAATATCTTTCTATTTATATTATAAAACTTTTCACACACACACACACACATTTATAGTATTCTAATATACTGGATGTTATATAATGAAATTTGAAATTGTATACACATGTATTGTACACACACACACACACACACACACACACACACACACACACATATATATATATATATATATATATATATATATATATATATATATATATATACATGCGCATAAGCAACTATTTTATTTATTTTTTGATTTACATATAATCTTATCTTAAAATAATGCACGTGGTAGAGCATAAGTTTTTAGATTCGTAGTCTTACAATATGGAAATTTAACTTAAAAGACATTTTGCAAATTACTTGGAAACTTTTGATCCAATCTGTACAACACACTAGTCACAGGTTTTCTGAGAAATATACTTATGATGATACGTACGTGTATGTGTGTATCATCTGTCCCTATTGTATATGTATATATTAAGAGTACATTAACCTCCTATGGTCAATCAGTATGTTTACATTTTATTGACAATTTTATTTTGAATTAATAATGAAAGCTAGGAAAAATTTGTTGAGAAATCCGATGACTGTGTTTTTCGTATTTGTATTTCGTTTCATCCTTGATATATTCCAAAGCATCAGATTTTTTTTTGTTAACCGCCATTCACTTTGCTTTCATTCTTCTCTTACATCCCCTACCCTCTTTCATAAAAACATTCGAACACGTTGGGGGAACCTGTTGTGTCTTGCTAGCGTATGCCTGCTATTTCCGTTGGCCAGTCTTCTTTCAAAACAAAGGAACATATATGAACCGTTTATTTTGAAAATAGCATATCACTTTTTAAGACATTAATTAATTATAAAATTTAATTGAATACACATATATATTTATTTTTTAAATATATCTAGTTTCTTTTTCAGAATTTAAATTAATTTAACTTTTTAATTTAGTTTCATATTTAATTTTATAATCAAATGTATTTCACACATATACATTTATAGAGTTATATATATATATTTCATTTTCTAATTTGTTTTTTTCTTTTCCATAGGAATCTTTCTTCCAATGGTCTTTTGGTGTCGAAGAACCAGGATGTTATGGAGCTCTTGATTTATCATTAGAAAAATCAATTTTATTTGTACCAAGATTACCTGCAGAATATGCTATATGGGAAGGAAAATTGCATACATTGGAAGATTTTAAAAAACGTTATGGCGTCGATGAGACTTATTATACGGATGAAATAAAAAAGACATTGAAAGACAAAGGTGCATCTCTTTTGTTAACTTTGGTAAGAATTATTTAACGTATAATGATAAATTTGGTAATATTTTATTTATGTGATATTTACTTTTGATCAAAATAAAAAAATATATAAGTATAATTTAAATATTTATATATATATATATATATATATATATATAATAATAATTTTTAGTAAAAAATATACTGAAAATTTAGTGAAAGAAAGAAAAAGTGGAATGTGTAAATAGCAGCAGAGAAATAACGAAGATCTTAAAATATCACATGATTATTTTTTTTTTTTTTTGGTTAAGTTATGTAAGACCGCTTTTACTTTTGCAAATATTATATAATCATTTTCTTTTTCATTTCAGCATGGTAAAAATAGCGACAGCGGATTGTACTCTCAAGAAGCTATTTTCGATGGAATAGGAGAGTAAGCAAATTTCATTTATTTATTAACTTATTTATTTATTTATTTATTTATAAATAATCTAAAGCTTTTCACCAATTATATTATTGTTTTATTTAATTCACAGATTTGAGGTTAATAATACTACGTTATATCCGGAAATATGCGAATGGTAAGTTAAATTAATATATTTTTATTATATATGTAATTTGTATTTTATCAAGCTTTGAATAGCCCGCCGATTCTCGAATGTATTCGATCGACCAATCACAAACATCCGCTCTGCGAAGAATTACTATTGGTGCTTTCACTTTTCGATATGATGAATATCGAACTCGATATCGAAAGAATGTCAATAAGGCGTCAAAGTATTTTGACATATAGTTGTGTTTTGATATTTATCTCTTGTTTTTATTTTTAAATACATATTTTATTCTAAACGATTAGAAATATTAAATTAATTAATTTACTCGGATTAAGATTTATAAAATTATATATTTTTCAAGACAAACGCGTCGTCGTCATTTTTAATGTAACTCGATTTACAATGCATGGTACAATTGCATTACTATGTTTTAGTTAATAACAAAAAAAATTGATTAAGTTTATTTGTAAAATTAAATGTGTGCATCTATGGTTCGTTTAGATGATAATTACGAGTCAGTTATGTGGAAAATATATATTCCGTTTGTTTTTACATTCAAAAGAATTCGTTTCAAAATTGAGGTTAGAATCCAATAAAAGAGATTATAGGAGTTCATCGAAAGCTATAACTCGGACCAGCATTTTTTTGGAAGAAGGAATGAACATTCAGGAACTACCTTTAATCGTGAAAAAGATTAATGATATTGGACTTTTATGTAATTTTAAAGGTAAGAATAATATGACTCCTTTTTGATTTTCAATACTCTGATACGTTAAAGAAAAATTGGAGTAATGTGCAACTTGGAGTAATATGCAAAAAGGGAATGATGAAGAAGCTGCTGAGAAGATGGACACCGATACTAAAATTTCTAAAAGGAGGATAGATATAGAAACGGAAGAGGGAATCGCAATACTTTTTTCATCGGATTTAGAATGTCTTAAGCGTACAAATGTTGATGAAATTTTAGAAGGATTGAATTCGTCTAATTCAACTAAAAGAATATATTCATTATTAGAGAACAAAATAGCGGATGAAATTAATTGTAGAATTGCCGTTCAAGGTTTAAAAAAGATTTTTGAAATAGAGAATGCACAAAGAAGATACAAAGATAACAGATTGTTAAGACAAGAACAATTTATCATTAATACTATCAATAGAGATGTTGCTTTGAAACAACTCGTTAAGATGATTGTCAAAAGTCAAGATAGTCAAATGATAGTAGAAGGTCTTTATGCATTGAAAAAAGACAAATTTAGTCCTGCTAAAAATGTTTATCGAGATTGTTTGTCAACTGAAGCATTAATTAGAGCATCTGATGGGGACTTTACTTTATCTCAATTAATAGATGTTCTTAAAGCTTTATCTTCTTACAAAGATTCCAGTTACCAAGAACTCATTGATCTATTGTGGATTGGTATTGCTAATAGAAAGGAAGAAATTAATGCAGATTTTTTAGTACCTTTATATAAACTCTTGTATTTATTTGATCTAAGTAAAAACACGGTTAGAATTATATTGGAGAAAAAACTTTCAGAACATTGGTTGAGATTAAAGGGTTCACAGATAGGAGAAATTTTAAATTGTTATCGTCATGATTTATCATTTTTAGGATGTTTAACGAGTGCTAGTAAATGGGCATCGGTTAGTATGAATACCTCGGATGAACAAAATCTAATTGATTTTATTCAAAGTTTACACGCAAAGAAATATATCGATGATAGAATAGAATTAACTTTAGAAGAATATATGAAAACTAAAGGTATTCATATTAAAGATCCTCAATTAATAGCAACTATCATGAATTATTGTTGTACCATGAGAGTCAGGAACGTTCATATTGTTTCTACTTGCGGAGAATATTTTATTAAGTATGGTAATAAATTACCAACGTCTTTATTGGCACCGATTCTAATGCCATTTGGTTTATTAAACGTACAACCACCTCATAGTACATTATTTTGGCAAACGTTAGATGAAATATTATCAGCTAAATTTCTTGATTTCAAACTAAACGAGATTTTAGATATTTTACTTAGTTGTATTTATTTGGAAAGATATCCATTAAGTTTTTGGGAAACAATCGTTAAATCTCATTCTTTGGATAAAATTTCGAAAAAGAAACATTACGTTTTTAACAAAGATTTGTTACGTAAGATAATATTATTCGATACATCGATGTACATCGAATGTGAAGATTATCACAATCGTCGTGTTAATTCAAACGGTATTACAAAATCATTGTTTGTTGATATACGTTTAAGAAGAATAATTAATGAAATTTCTAAACCATTGGAACGTGTTGTTGGTAAAGAAAAGAAATTAAGTAAAAATGTTCTTATTAACAAATTACCGTTCATCAATTATTATATACTCGATATTTTGATACATTCGTCATCAACGTCAACTGCAATATTTCATTTAAATTTACAAACAAATAGAAATTTAAATACCGTCGTTTTAATTCATTTGCCGGAACATTATTGTCGTAATACAATGCATTTAATTGGACCACAATTAATGAGAAAAAGACAAATTAGAAAGTTAGGTTTTCGTACAGTGAGTTTAGATTATTCAACGTTAGAAAAATTACTCGATCAAAATGACAAATTGTCCAATTATTTGATAAAACATTTTGAAGCAGCCGAGGATGCTTTATGAAATTCGTTAATGGGGATTCTTTTTTCTTTTCTTTTTTTTAAATAAAAATGTATTTTGTACGGATAATAAAATTGATGTGAAAAATATTCAATCATAATTGTTATGTGTGTATGCATGAATTATATATATATATATATATATTTGATAATATTTCATTGAACTTTATTTATATTTTATTTTGTTTATTTTTGTATGTACAGTCGAGTAATCAAAACTGCCAAGGAAATCGACGTATTGAGATACGTGGTGAAGATAAGTTCAGAAGCTCACAAAACTGTAATGCGTATGGTGAGACCAGGTTTAGGAGAGTTTCAAGCTGAAGCAGCCTTTTTGAATTACATTTATTCCATTGGAGGTTGTAGACACGTTTCTTATACTTGCATTTGTGGTTCTGGACATAACGCATCCATCTTGCATTATGGACACGCTGGTGCACCTAACAGTAAAATTCTGGAGGATGGGGATATGTGGTAAGAACACATTTCTACAAAACTTATAATATTACTAGGGGTGCCCCGCCACGCGTTGCTGTGGCTCACAATCTGTCCGATACACACGTCTTTAAGTCAACGAATTATCTTATACCGCCATCTGTTAGAATCTTATCGAACTAACAGAGATAATCATGACTCTTTGTTAATAAACAAATAATTCGCAATAAAATAATATTGCGATTATAAATTGAGATATAAACTATCCTATCTTTCAAGTTGAATGAAACTGCACAGAGTGTGCAAAATTTGATTAAAATCGGTTAAGTAGTTTAGAAGTCCATTGCGGACAAACAACGTGACACGTAATTTATATATATTAAGAAGTTTTAAAATACAATATAACAATACATTAATATATATTTATATTATAGTTTATTCGATATGGGTGGAAATTATTGTGGATACGCTGCAGACATAACGTGCAGTTTTCCAGCCAATGGAAAATTCACCGATGATCAAAAGTTCATTTACAATGCCGTATTGAAAGCAAGAGATGCAGTTATGAATGCTGTAAAACCTGGTGTATCTTGGACAGATATGCATCTGTTAGCTAACGAAACAATGTTAACGTCATTGAAAGAAGGTGGATTGTTGATTGGTGATGTTAAAGATATGATGAAATCTGGATTGAACGAAATCTTTCAACCTCATGGTCTTGGACATCTTATGGGTTTGGATGTACACGACGTTGGTGGTTATCTTCCAGGACATCCAGAACGTTCAACATCAGCAGGCATAAGAAAATTAAGAACTGCACGTACTTTACTTGCTGGCATGGTATTAACGATAGAACCTGGTTGTTATTTCATCGATTGTGTAAGTTGTATAAGTTGATCACACTATTTTATTGAAGTTTCAATAAATTTAGTGATCATTTTATTATTTTGAATTATGATAATTCAAATGATAGTTGCTCGACGATGCATTAACCAATCCAAATCAATCACGGTTTATCGTAAGAGAACAATTGACAAGATTTCGTGGTTGGGGTGGTATTAGAATTGAGGATGATGTTTTAATTACTGAGACTGGTGTTGAAAATTTAACACAAGTTCCTAGAACGTGAGTAATATTTCAATTTAAAATTTTGTACATTTTTATTCATATATAGATGATAAATATTATTATTTTTATTTTCTAGAGTCGAGGAGATTGAACATTGGATGGCGGAAGGAAGAAACGAATTGAAGTTACCGCAAGATAAATAAATTCTAAAAGACTTTTTTTAATTTACTACTTTGATACAATCAATATATATATGATATATATATATATGTATATATACATAAATATATTTTATATATAATTCATGGAGGTTTGAAACAACACTTCCAAATAAACTTAAGACATACGTGAAGAAAATTAAGAACTCTGAGATAATTCAAATGAAAGATTCAATAAGTCTCTAATTAAATTCAACGTCTCAGATTTATTCACGAATATTCTATATACCAAAAAAAATATTTTTCAATAAAAAATAATAATTATAAATATCTAACAACAGCAACAACAACAAAAAAACAATTATATTGCGCCTTGTGTAAAAAAAAATACACCTAAATGTGTTTTGTTTGTATATTCACAATAATTTGAATCGAGTAGTCATCAAATCGATTAACATAAAAAAAACAACATTCCACACAACGATATATCAACATAGATTAATAATAATAATAATAATAATAATAATAATAATAATAATAATAATAATAATAATGTAAATATTACACACACATATACGCTGTTTAATTTGTTAATATGCATATTACTACGTTACTATATTACTATACTACTATACTACTATACCACGTTACTACGTTACTACGTTAATAGTATTATACTATTACTACTTTATTACTACACTATATTATATTATAGTACAGTATAGTATAATATAACTATGTTATTAGTATTATACTATTACTACATTATTATTATACTATATTATAATAGTACAGTATAGTATAACTACGTTACTATATTAATAATGCATATTAACTTTTATAAATAATCTATTATAAATAAATCAAAGTATTACTTGTTATTAAATGAAGTATTAATGAGTTGCTTTTTATGTGATACTTTTTACACATATATAGATATAAGAACAAAAAGAGACATGTGGACAAACAATTAGAATAATAATAATAATAATAAAAAAAAAAAGGAAAACGAAATAACAAAGGATGATAAATGATAGGATTATGATAGATGAAAAGTAGTTAATTGTAGTAGTTAATGTATCGTATAAAGTAGTAGTAGTAGTAGTAGTAGTAGTGTATAGTATATATAGTATATTTGCGGTTTCGCATAGTGTCTATCCTTGTCTCTCTGTCACATTTTCTGTCTCTTTCTATCTCTCTCTCTCTTTTTCAAAGTTAAACGCTTGAGCAGCGCAGTCATTATCGCGCGTGCGAGGTTACCAGTTCGCAGTCGCGTCACAGCGCCGGTGTAGACGCGTCGTCGTCGTCGTTGTCCTCCTCGTCGTCGTCTTCGTCAACGTCGTTGTGTTCTTTCCTGGATAGATTAATTCCAAAAGCGGAAACTAAAAAAAAAAAAGAAAGAGGAAGAAGAATCATTTAGAGGAAACGTCAAACGTGTGTGTTTATATTATGTGTGTTTTTATTTTTGTGGCCATTTAATTTTTATTTTTTAATTATATACATATATATATATATATATATATATATATATATGTATATATATGTATATATGTTACATATTTTTTTTAAATTACATTTTTAATCTCTATTTTAATCACACATATACACTTATATATATATATATATATATATATATATATATATATATTGTATAAAGGGTTAAACAAAATGACAATTAGTGCTTTAAATATTATCAAATGATAAATTATTATTATTATTATTATTATTATTATTATTATTAATTGTAATATATTGAATCGATAATCATTCGAGAGTATTAAAATATACTCTGTTTTATAATCAAAGTTTAACATGTAATTTAATTTATTCTACAATTACAATGGTGTCTCTGTGTGGTTTTGTTTTGTCTCTTTTTAACATAACTAAAACTATCTATCTATCTATCTATCTTATCTATCTATTCATTTCTGTGCGCGCGTGCTTTGTACATGTGCATATGTATATGTATATGTGTAATATGTGCATTTACGTGAAACGTGTGTTTCTCTATTGTAATTAATACTGTTTTTTTTTTTTTTTTTTTTTTTTTTTAAAGAACAGAGGAAAAGATGGACAGATAATAGGATTAATATAATTATAAACAAATAAATAATATGTATTCGTGAATTATTTAATTTTAATAATTTATAAACAAATTACAACAGTGTCCTGTCATATATGACAGTTTTTTTTTCTGTATGTGAGTTTATGGGTGAATAAATCTTTTGTTTAATTATTTTTATTAAGAAGAGAAAAGAAATAGTAACAGAGAGAGAGAAAGAGAGAGAGAGAAAGAGAAAGATAGAATACATGACACACATATAAACACATATATACACAGATACATATTATTATTATCTTTGTCTGTCTTGTGTTTGTTTGGTCAGTCATTTAAATTTCTTATTCTTAGCTTGTGTAAAGTGTCTTCTCTCTTTGGTTTGTTCTTCTAAATGATCAAAAAAAAAAAAAATACAAAAAAAAAACGCTAATGGGGAACGTGCCCGTCTTCTTCTTCTTCTTCTTCCTCTTCTTTTTCTTTTCACTTGTGTTGTGTGAGGAGAATGATAAAGTATAAGAAGAAGAAGAAGAAGAAGAAGAATAATAATAATAAGAAGAAGAATTAGAAGAAAAAAGAAAAAGTCTTTTGCTTATAAATACACATACTACAAACTCTCTTGTACGTTTGAATAGCTCGTGGCCGACGACGGCCACGTTTGACGCAACAAAACACGAGAAGAGAGTGAGAGAAGAAGAAGTAGAAGAAGAAGAAGAAGAAGAAGAGGTTTTTAGTTTCTCTTCTCTGTGAGCAGAGAGAAACAGAAGCAGAAGCAGGAACGATCGATCGTTTAGAGGGAACACGCGCGTTAGTGTTCAAAGAGAGAGAAAGAGAGATAGATAGATAGATAGATAGAACAGATAGAGATAGAAAGAGAGAGAGAGAGAGAGAGAGAGAGAGAGAGAGAGAGAGAGAGAGGGATAAAAAAAAAGGTAATAGGAATGACCAAGAAAATAACAAATAATTATTTATATTTATTTCTATTATTTATTATTGTTTTAAATAATATTATATAATTTGTATATGAAATTATTTTGTTTCTATGATTTACATATTATAATATTTGGTCATTTTAAATTTATTATACTAATATTATTAATGATAATGAACGTGATATTAAAACTTGTAAAAAAAGGAAAATAACTAAAAATGATAAAAAGAAAAAAATATAAGGAAAAATAATAATAATAATAATAATAATAATAATAATAATAAAATAGTATCAAGAACAATCATACTGGAGATTATACATATTGTCTGAAAATTTTGGACACCATTGGAATAAACTGAATTGCTTCTTTCCAATGGTCAAATAAACCAGCTAAAAAACTGTGATCTAGAAAGAAAAACAACAACAATAATAATAATAATAATAATAATAATAATAATAATAATAATGAAATTATTTTGTCTATGATTTAATATTATAAAAGCTGATCATTTCAAATGTATTACACCATTATTACCAACGTAGTAATTTCATTATTAAGCGTATAAAAATAACAAAAAATATAAAGGGGTAAGATATGAGGAATAATAATAATAATAATAATAATAATAATAATAATTATTATAATTGCTCAATAATAATAATTATAATTGCTCAATAATAATAATAATAATTATAATTGGACTGAAATTATTTTGTTTATGATTTAATATTATAAAATCTCATCATTTCAAATTTACTACACCATTATAACCAACGTAGTAATTATATTATTAAACGCATAAAAATAACAAAAAATAATAAAATGAAAAGAATATAAGGAAAAATAATAATAATAATAATAATAATAATAATAATAATAATTGGACTGAAATTATTTTGTTTATGATTTTAACATTATAAAATCTGATCACACATTTCAAATTTATTACACCAACATTATCAACGTAGTAATTTAATCATTAAACGTAAAAAAAAAGAAAATATAAAAAAGGAGTAAGAAATAAAGATAAAGAATAATAATAATAATAATAATAATAATAATAATAATAATAATAATAATAATAATAATAATAATTGTTTGAAACAATAGAAGGTGATTATTATAATTTTGTCGTATACGAGATAATGGTATTATTCAAAGAATTATTAATGGCCGGTTACTTCCTTTAAATGGAAGTAGGATACCTTCTTCAACCTCCCCCCACTATTTTTTTTTTACACAATTTTATTTTATATTTCTTTTCTTTTTTCTATAGTAAGGTCGTTCCTTTATGTTGCTATATATATATATGTATGTGTGTGTGTGTGTATATGTTTCTTGTGGGGTCGCAGAGATAAAAAGTCGCTTTTACTTAACACGTTGAACGCCACGTCAGCTATCGGTGACTGACACTAGACTTCCGTTTAAGCCACGTCAGCTATCGGTGACTGACACTAGACT